CCCCGTCCCCTCCGCCCGGTTTAGGATGGCGGAGTGGGATCCCGCTCCCTCATCCTGCGACTGCTTCGTGGCGCTGCCGCCGCACACCGCGGCGCCCGTCGTCATCTTCGGCAAAAACGCTGACCGGCCGCGTCACGAGGTCCAGGAGGTTGTCTACGTCCCTGCTGCCGTCCACCAGCCCGGGGACAAAGTCCAGGTAAGACCGTGACGAAGCCGAGCCGGCCATGGGGGACGGTGCACCGAGTGCGCCAGGTCTCAGCTCAGCCCCTCTCTGTCCCCGTCCCCCCCCCCGACAGTGCACCTACCTGGAGATCGAGCAGGCAGAGAGAACCCACGCGGTGGTGCTGAGCCGTCCCGCCTGGCTGTGGGGTGCCGAGATGGGTGCCAACGAACACGGTGTCTGTGTGGGCAATGAGGGCGTCTGGACCCGTGAGCCCCTGGGGGAGGACGAGGCGCTGCTGGGGATGGACCTGGTGAGGTGAGGACAGTGTCGTGTGTGTCCCCTGCCCCGGACACCCTGTGCCGTCACCCACCACTGGCCGACGGGGTGCTGCCGGCGCGGCAGGCTGGGTTTGGAGCGGGGCAGCTCTGCCCGGGAGGCCCTGGAGGTGATGGTGGCATTGCTGGAGCGCTACGGCCAGGGTGGGAGCTGCAAGGAGGAGCCGGTCCCCTTCGTCTACCACAACACCTTCCTGCTGGCTGACCGCGTCGAGGCCTGGGTGCTGGAGACGGCTGGCCGGTACTGGGCAGCCCAGCAGATCCGAGGTGAGCGGGCTCTGGTTGTACTGGGAGGACAGGGAGCCCTTTGTCCCCTCCAACCTGACCCCCCCTCCGGCCTTCGCAGAGGGCAGCCGCAACATCTCCAACCAGCTCAGCATTGGGAGGGAGATCACGGCTGAGCACGCGGGGCTGCGGCAGCGAGCCCGCAGCCAGGGCTGGTGGAGCGGGGATGGCGAGTTCAGCTTCGCCGAGGTCTTCTCCCTGACGCACCAGCCTGCTCGCATGGAGGCTGCCAAGGCCCGCTACCACGCCGGCAAGGAGCTGCTGCGGCAGCATGCAGGTGGGGACAGGGGCAGGGACAGGGACAGGGATGGCCACCAATGGCTCGCCCTGGCATCTCCCCACTCCCCGTGGCCACAGCAGCTGTGGCTGAGCTGCCGGTGGTGACGTGGCTCTGCCTCACCCACCAGGTCACATCACGGCGGAGACATTCATGGCCATCCTGCGGGACAAGGCCAGCGGGATCTGCGTGGACTCGGAGGGGTTCCGCACGGCAGGCAGCATGGTGTCCGTTCTGCCCCAAGACCCCACCTTGCCCTGCGTCCACTTCTTCACGGCCACCCCTGACCCCTCCAGGTGAGGACACCGGGGGGGACAGCCCTACTCTGGGGGTGACGGGGACGAGGCAGAGCCGTGCCCCGGGCTGAGTGTCCCCAGGGAGCAGCATCTTGTCCTTGTGCTGGCCGGCCCCAGGGCCCTGGTACTCCTCTCTGGCAGGTCCGTCTTCAAGCCCTTCGTCTTCGTTGCCGGCCTCAAGCCCACGCCGCAGGTGAGATCTCCCACCTTCCGCGACGACCCCGCCAAGCAGATCCCACGCTTCCAGAGCACGGTCGATCGGCGGCACGAGCTCTACCGCCGGCATCAGGCGGCACTGGAGCTGATGGAGAGGGACCAGGTACCGCAGACCCTTCCCCAGCCACCGCTGCCCCGGGACCCTCACTCTGCCCCCGGTGATGTGGGAGGCTGTCGAATTCCCTGAGGGTGCCCAGTGTCAGCTCTCCTCCCTCTTCGACACCTGCAGGAGCGGGGCCAGAAGCTCCTGCAGACGCTGTGGGACCTGGAGAAGCAGGGCCTGGAGGGGATGAACGCGCTGCTGGGGGGAACGGTGGCCCCCCGCCCAGAGGAGCTGGCCGACCTCTTCTTTGACTGCGTGGAGGCAGAGATGAAGTTTTACACATAAACCCCATGCAGGTGGGTGGACTCGGCACCCCCTGCGGCATTGCTCCTGGATAGGGAATGAGAAAACCTTCCCGATGCCCGGCCCCAGCTCCTTGCCTCCTCCCGCCACAGATCTGCCGCTGATGGCGTGGTGGGGAATGGCTTGACCGGTGTCTCCAGCCCCGCCTGAGGGTGCGGAGCCTCCAGCCCCCTAACTTGTCCTGAAGGAATTGGCACTTTTGAGGGGTGGCTGTGGCCTGAAATGCAGATGCAGTGGAAAGGAGAGGGACGCAGAGTGGGATTTGGAGTCCTGCCCGCAGCCCGGCATGTCTTTTCCCACCATTAGGCAGAACTGCCTGTGCCCAGCCCCTCTGGGGCTGGCTGTGGGGCTGGGGGCTCTGTGGCAGACAGACGGATTGGTGTAGGAATAAAGAGGCTTTAATCCCAACCATGTGGTGCCATGCTGGTGCGGGGTATTCGGGGTAACTGCCTATTTTTTGCTCCTTTGGTGCGAGTCTCCTCCTCCAGAGCCTTAGTCCGGGGCTGGCTCCTGCCAGGAGCTTGCTGGGGCTGCAGGCAGGTGTGCTGCCCACCAGGTCCCGGCAGGGGTGGCAGCCACGTCCCCAGTTTCGCTTGGGGACGGGGCTGAGACCGCCTGGGTCCTGGGGTCGTGATGCAGGCTGCTCCCTCCCGGCCTGGGCTCAGCTGTGCAGGAGGCAGCAGCAGACCCCGACACTCCTGCAGCTCCTCCAGCTCTTCCAGACGGGTCTGGTGTTCCTCCAGGGCCTCCCTCTGCCTCCGCCGCGAGCGCCCGGCCAGCTCCTGGTGCAGATCTGCGAAGAAATCTGCCAGGGACGGAGGGAGGGAGGAGAATTACAGGAGACCTGGCATGGCCACCGGAGCTCCCTGCCACTCCTCTCACCCTTGGGGACAGAGGGACCGGCCTGCTTAACCCCCAAGCGTGCAACGTGTCCTGCTTCAGTCTGGGCACCTTTGCCTGCAGTGAAAGGGCCGCTCTGCTCAGAGGGCGACTCGTCGTCTTCATCCTCACTGCTGGAAGAGCCTCCTTCCTCCTTTTCCTCACCCACACTGCCACGGACATGCTGGGCGTCCAGCTGCAGGAGGTGGGGCAGGGCTCCCACCACCAGCTCTCTGCAAACACCAAAGGAAGAGCAGACGTTCCACTGCCATGCAGCATGACCTCGGGGCTGGGAGTGCTTCGGGGTGGTACCGAACCCCCGGCACTGTGCCCCCCCAGCACCACACCCCCTGGCACTGCTCCATGCAGCCCACCCCACAGACTGGCCGGGACAGAAGGCAGAGATTCAGTTTTCTGGGGTTTGGGTGGGGGGCTCATGCTGCATTTGATATTTGGGGGGGGCTGTACCCTGCTGAAGGGCTTCTGCGGTTTGGGGGACTTGCCCCCCCCCCCAGCCTCCCCTGACCAACCTGTATCCATCCTGGTGGGTGCATTCGTTTCCCGTTAAGTCGAGGAGACGGAGGCTGCGGGGCAGCTCATCTGCAGAGACCAAAGGGAAGGCAGAAAGGTGCTGAGGTGGGACCTGAGCCCCCCTCTCTGCCAAACCCCTGTGCCTCCCATCTCCTGCAGCTCTTCACCCACTCCTGAGGTGACACCCTCACAGGTGAGGAAACTGAGGCAGGGAGGGTGGGAACGTGTATCGCACATACTCCCATGTGAAAACTGAGGGTTTTCCCCTTCCCAGGCCATCACTGTTCCCTTTCTCACCCCTGTCTGCAAGCAGAGGGCCTGGTGCGACAACAGCAACACTACAGAGGAAGGGAGGGAGATATTATCCCTCTGTCCCTCCCTCTTCTGCCAAAAATCACCCACGGGAGGAGCCAACTGAAAGACGCACGAAGGCTTGTCAGGGCTGGAGCAGCTTTGCCATGAGGTTGAAATCCCCAAGTCTGATCTGAGCCACTGAAGTGTTCTGCCGAAGCAGGACACAAGGTGGAAGCAGACACCTGGAGTCTGCCAGCAGAAGGGATGGCTCAAACCTGGCCACAGAGCTCCTCTGTTGTCATGCTGGAACACGCAGGCCAGCCCCAGGGTGGCTCTGCTGGGGCTTTGGTTGGGACCTGAGGGTCAGAGGCCCTGGCAAAGCCTGGAGCAAGGGTCTGCCGGCATTTCTCCGGTACCCAAGGCACTTCTCGGGCAGACCCAGACCACGTCTGGACCCATTCCTGCCTCCCACCTGGGTCAAGCGTCTGTATCTGGTTGTGGGACAAGTCCAGGACACGCAGGTGTCGCAGGGTCTGCAAGTTCTCCACTCTGCGGATGCGGTTTCCAGCCAGGGAGAGGAACCTGCAGAGCACAGGGAGGGCAGCGGTGTGAGGTGGGGGGGACGCCACAGCCCCCAGGGTCAGAGCCAGCAGCACCAGGCTGTCAGGGGCTGCAACTCGAACCCCCCCTGGCTCTGCCAAGGGAAGGAGGGAGCCCCACTCTCCTCTGACCATGGAAAAAGATCTCCTTGGGGGCAGAAGCTGCCCGTACCGCAGGTTGGGAAAGCAGCCCAGATTCTCAATCTTCTCAATTTGGTTCTGGAAGAAAAAAAAAAGCAACACGTTTTTCTACTGCATAAAAACCAGATTTTGGAAGCACCCCAGGATTGCTCCAGCCTCACACGGGCAACAGGATGTCGCACCATTGCCACGGGAACTTTATGGAAAGAGTATGGGCTGCGATGGCACAGAGAGCCTGGCAGAGTTCAGGAGGACCCTAAGGCTCTTCATGTGGGTTTGAAAAACACCAAATGTCTGATGCCAGACCCTCACTCAAACTCCATCTGCGACATTGTCATCAGAGGGGAGTGCTGCCAGTGCCTCTGGCCATGCAGGGAGGCAAACCCTGGAGCAGAACTTGGGGTGTTTGTGGTCCCCCCTGAGGTGGCCTTTACCCCCAGAACTAGGGCTGATCTCCACTGCCCCGCACCTGCCATAGTACCTTACCTGCTGCAGGTAGAGGCTGTGAATCTCCTGCAGGCTCTGGAGCCTCCCGATAGCACAGATGTTCTCCCGGTCCAAGCGGATGGTCGAGGGGGACAGCAGCTCCATGGATCTAGAGGAAGGGGGGTGCTCGGGGTGTCCTTTGTGCCCACAGACCCCTCCCTGCCAGCCTGGGTGGTGAAGGTGGGCTCTGTGCAGATTCTCACCGGCTCTCTGGGTGCCGGGGCTCCACCACGCGAGGCAGGTTCCTCATGGCGATGAGGCTGTCGGTGAGGGTCACCCCCGGGGACGTCTGCTCACGGCCTGTGGGAAACCCAAGGTGACGGGGCTCAGGTCAGCAGGGTCCGGCTCCCTGTACCGTCCCAGGCTGACGCACGTAAGCAGGCCCCGCAACGGTTTACTCACCCCCAGGCAGGGTCTCCCCCTGCCCAGCCATGATGGGGGGCTGTCCTGAGTCTTTGTCCCTTCCTTGGGCCCTTGGGTGGGTGTGTCGCGGGGGCTGGGCCGGCCCCACTGCTCTCTGCAAGGGGAAGGGTGCTGAGGCGATGGGGGGCAGAAACCTGCGGGCTGGGGGGGTCGGTGGGGATGGGACTGCCGGACTGGGGGGGATCAGCGCTGGGACTCCCAGGTGGGGCAGAGAGACCCCAGGGCCTGGCAGGACCATGGGGCTGGGATCCTCGGGCTGGGG